TCTTCCTGTTTCAGTTTTGGTAGTTTATATGTCTCTAGGAATGCATCCATTTCTTCCAGATTGCCTAATTTGTTGGCATATAGTTGCTCATCATATGTTCTTAAATTGTTTGTATTTCTTCGGTGCTGGTTGTGGTCTCTCCTCTTTCATTCATGATTTTATTTATTTGGGTCCTTTCTCTCTCTCTCTCTTTTTTTTTTTTTGATAAGTCTGGCCAAGGGTTTATCGATATTGTTAATTCTTTCAAAGAACCAGCTCCCAGTTTCATTGATCTGTTCCACTGTTCTTTTAGTTTCTACCAAGGACAGACTTTAATGAAGGACAAAGACCTAAAAAAATGTAGTCTATGTGATTTATAAAGCAATCTTCTAATTTTTAGATTATTATATACTAAAAGTGTATAGTTCTATGAATTTCCACAGCCATGTATAGTTTTGTGTAACCACAATAGGACACAGAACAGTTCCATTATCTCCCCTAAAACCTCCCGTGAGATCCCGTTATCACTTCCCTTGCCCAACCACTGACCTGTTCTCCACACTGTAGTTTTATCTTTTTGAGAATGTCGTATAAATGGAATCTCTGTAATATTTTTATTTTTTTATTATTATTTTTAAATTGCAGTATAAGTAATGTACAGTGCTATATTAGTCTCTGGTGTACAAATAGTGTTTGAACAATTCTATACATTACTCACTACTTATCACAGTAAGTGTATTCTTAATCCCCTTCACCTATTTTATCCATCTCCCCACCCACCTCCCCTCTGCTCCCCTCTGGTAACCACCAGTTTGTTCTCCATATTTAAGAGTCTGGGTTTTTTGTTTGTTTGTTTGTTTGTTTTTTGGTCTTTTTCTTTGTTCATCTGTTTTGTTTCTTAAATTCCACGTATGAGTGAAATCATATGGTATTTGTATTTTCTCTGTCTGACTGATTTCACTTAGCATTATACTTTCTAGCTCCATCCATGTTGTTGCTAACAGCAAGACTTCATTCTTTTTTTATGGCTGAGTAATATTCCATTAATGGGGTGTGTGTGTGTGTGTGTGTGTGTGTGTGTGTGTGTGTGTACCACACCTTCTTTATCCATTCATGTGTTGATGGACACTTGGACTGTTTCCATATCTTGGCTATTGTAAATAATGCTGAAATAGACGTAGGGGTGCATATCTCTTTTCAAATTAGTGTTTTCATATTCTTTGGGTAAATGCCCAGAAGTGCAATTACTGGATCATATGGTAATTCTATTTTTAATTTTTTGAGGAGACTCCATACAGTTTTTCACAGTGGCTGCACCAATTAACATTCCCACCAACAGTGCACAAGGATTTCCTTTTCACCACATCCTTGCCAATACTATTTCTTATCTTTTTTATATTAACCATTGTGATTGGTGTGGGGTGATCTCTCACTGTGGCTTTGATTTGCATTTTTTGATGACGAGTGATGTTGAGCATCTTTTCATGTGTGTGTTGGCCATCTGGATGACTGTTGCAATATTAGGCACACTCACAAAAAACTTCGCCTCTACCCTCTTGTTTCAGTACCTGAGGCCTGCAAATTAAACTAACAAAAGACAGATTAACAGGAGAAAAGGTTTATTTTGGATGTCCATGGGGGCTTCACAGAGGAAAAGTGAAAACCTAAAGAGGCTGTTAGACCTGGGAGCTTATACATGATTTCAGTAAAGTGACTAGACAAAGGAACAGGGCTTTGGGCTTCTGTGGGCAGCGAATTGTGGAAAGGTATGTATGTGGCAAACCTAATGGAAGATAAGGGTTATTTTAGTAAGGTTTGTTTATGTAGACTCAAGTCAGTGCCGTCTCTAGCAATAAGTCATCTCTGGTGATTAGTAGGAGTCTTCTCCTCCTAGTACAGGAGAGGGGGACAATTTTACAAATGGAAATTTATGTTACCTTTTTTTTAAAAGATTTTTTTTATTTTTTTATTTTTTTTAAAGATTTTATTTATTTATTCATGAGTGAGAGAGAGAGGCAGAGCGAGAAGCAGGCTCCCAAGGAGCAGGGAGCCCGATGCGGGACTCGATCCCAAGACCCTGAGATCATGACCCGAGCCGAAGGCAGACGCTCAACCATCTGAGCCACCCAGGGGCCCAAAAGATTTTATTTTTTAAGTAATCTCTACACCCAACATGAGGCTTGAACTCACAACCCTGAGATCAAGAGTCAGAGTGAGTTCAAGATCAGGAGTCTACCGACTGAGCCAGTTAACCTTTAAAAAGGGAAATTTATGCCCTGCTTTTTATCAGAAAGGGAGAGGATAGAAAGTTACTCCTATGTCTGTGTTTCTTAATTGCCTTCAGCTCAAAATAATCCTTTGCCCACGTGGCACATTTTGGGTAACATATTTTGATCCCCTTCAGAACTCTCTCCTGTCACCTGGTTACTGACATATTTCCTTTGTTGTTATATGTTGGCTTAGAGACTATTTCCATATCCACATTTCCTCATCTGTATTCACCATTTAGAATTACAGTGAGAGTTTAAGGATTAAATGCTTCAGAAGAACATTTAGTTAGTAAAGCATCAGTTTTACTCACTTCTGGTGTTTGAGCAGCTGAATTCCACATAACTGGTCTCTGAAGGAACACAATTTGCTTTGTAGCCAAATTCCCTTCACTGCAAATTAAAACAATAGTGTTAGTATTGGCAAATTAGTAATTCTTAATTTTACACTTGGCTAGAATATTCCACATGTATCCTTTGTAATATAATCTTCTGAACCAAAAATAATTATGAAATATGATTCTATATGAGTTGTAGCTGGAAAAACAAGAAAAAAAAATGCCTAAAAACTGAATATAGTCATTACCAAAGGAAAATTTGTTTAAAACATGTAATCTCAATGTGCTAATGTAAGTATTTTTATCTTTTTTTGCCCTCTCCTAGTCTTTATCAAAATGCGAATTTCCACAGTTCTGTAACGGCTACATATTTGCATTTCTGTGTTCTATCCTTTTCACTAAACACCCTTTCCTTGTTTGTACACTTGTGATCATATTCTTAATAGCTGCAGTCTCTCAAAGAATTAAGATACTAAAATGTATTAAGCCTTTCCTGTATTATTGGAAAATTAGGTTGTTTCCAGTTTTCCACTAAATTTTAAATAACGTTGCTGTAAAATATGGATAGTCTTCCTTATTCTTTTGACTTATTTCCTTGAGATAAAGTCTCAGGAGTAGGATTATTAGGTCAAAAGGGTATGATTTAAGCTTCTTGGTATGCATTGTCAAATTTGCCTCATAAGAAGAAGAGACCAATTTAGGCTGTCACATGTGAGAGATTTTATATACATTTTCAGATGAGGGACTTGAGCCACAGCTAGTTTTATTTTCAGATGCTTCTTTGTAGTCAGCTACTCAGTATTCTCCTTATTTAACTATCATCATGGCAAATTACCCCTTGCCAAAGACTACTTGGGGTTTGTATTTCTCTGAAATGCTTTTCACAGTCTCCAGGGCTTTATGGGGAGGAGTGTCTGTAGCTAATGTTGCTCAGTTACGACTTTTATTATGCAAAAAACCCAAACAAAACCTCACTATTAGCTGCATTTTATGCTGAGCTCTTTTTCTGGAAAACAAATGCAACATTGAAACTCTGGCCCTAGCGGTATATGTTAACCCCATACCATTTGAAAATCCCAAACTTACTGATACTGTTGAATTTTGAGAAATAGCAAAATTTCCCCCAAAGTGGTAATAAGAGACTGCTTCTTTTTTATTTTTATTTTTAAAAGAATGCTTCTAGTCTAATCTCATTTTAGTTTAACCTTGTCTTTAATTAGAAGAAAAGACTTGGTATGAAGCATAGTTGACCCTTGAACAACAGGGGGGTTAGGGGCATCAACCCCCTCCCCACTGCAGTCAAAAATCCACATATAGGGGGCACCTAACTGGTTTTGTAGGTAGAGCATGTGACTCTTGATCTTGGGGTTGTGAGTTTGAGCCCCAGGTTGGGAGTAGAGGTTACTTAAAAATAAAATCTTAAAAAAAAGAAGTCCACATATATTTTGAACTCTCCAAAAACTTAACTACTAATAGCCTGTTGTTGACTGGTAGCCTTGCCAAATATATAAACAGTTAACTAACATATTTTGTATATGTATCATATACTGTATTCTTACAATAAAGTAAGCTAGAGAAAAGAAAATGTTATGAAAAAAATCATAAGGAAGAGAAAATACATTTACAGTTTTATACTATATTTATCAAGATAAATCTGCTTGTAAGTGGACCCGTACAGTTCAAACTCATGTTGTTCAAGGGTTAACTGTATATTGTTACTTTTGGGAACAATCATCAGGAGACATGGGTTGTGATGTAGGCATACAGGGAAGAGATTAGCAGTGTGCAGAATAGGCTGGTCTGTGTTTGGAAGTACAGAATATGCTGGAAAAGGCAGTGGCTTTGGAGCCAAGGAGTTCCTGGTTTAAATCCCTACTCTACCATAATAGCTGATGATACCACTTTAGCAAAGTTTTTAAATTCTCTCACTTTCATTTCCTGTCAGGGACTTTGCGAAGGATAATTATGTTGATGTGTATGAAGACCTCCACTGTGCCTGCCCCTAGAAGGTGTACGACAAACGTGATTTCCTTCTACTTTTTCTATTTGTTTAATGAAATGTAGGGTGGAGTTAAGTGGGAGGGAAAAGTCTTAGAATCTAGAATATCTTCTAGAGAGAAAAGTCAAGGGAGAAGGTACCCGAGAATACAGAGGAGGTTTCTGGGTAATGTTCAAAGTGTGTGATTCAGGTAGAGAATCCCATGAGGGAACCAGGCCTAGAACTATGCAAAGATGAGGAGGAATCAGGGCAGAATTATTCTTCTTGAATAGAAAGCAGGAGAATGTCAGGGTAGGGATTGTGAGTGACCTGGAGTGAGTCCTTTCCAACCCATTATATGCTGAGGCAAGTCTGAATGCCCAAGGATGTGATGTTTGACCTAGAGCAGGCTTCTCTGGGATGCCTGGGTGGCTCAGTGGGTTAAGCGTCTTTGGCTCAGGTCATGATCCCAGGGTCCTGGGATCGAGTCCCACATCAGGCTTCTTGTTCAGCAGGAGCCTGCTTCTCCCTCTCCCTCTGCCGCTCCCCCTGCTTGTGCTATCTCTCTGACAAATAAATAAATAAGTAAGTAAAATCTTAAAAAAAAAAAAAAATAGAGCAGGCTTCTTGACCTTTCCTAATGGGGTAAAACAGTAAATGAAGAGATGCCTTCTCAAAGGCTGACTATCTTAGGACAGTCTCCAGAAGCCCAGGTAGGACTGTGGAAGGTCAGCATTTTCCCATCTCTTGGGGAGGTTCTTAGAACAAGTGCCTCAATTTGAAATATGTCTGAGACTGCTATGTCCCCGATTTTCTGAGGGCCATTCTGATTTTTTTTCACATTGTTGTTGTTGTTTTAGTTTATTTATTTAAGTAATCTCTATATCCAATGTGGGGCTTGAACTCACAATCCTGAGATCAAGAGTTGCATGCTTTTCCAACTGAGCCAGCCAGGTGCCCCAGGGCCATTCTGATTTAAAATGTGTCCTGCTATTTTCAGAACATCCGTGAGATATGGAACCCTTTTTGGTCTGGAGAATCTAAGCATGGTAGAACTAAGGGGAAGAGGTCTGAAGCCTTACAGAGGGACAACTGTTTGGCAGGGTGAGTGCCTCACGGTCTCCAGTGGCTCCTGAGGTAATTCTATTTACTGAGCTGGGATGGAATGTTTGCCTCACAGCACAGATTCTGAAAGTATTTGACTGATGGTGTCATTACAGGACTGGAGAGTAGTTCAAATGTCCTGGATGCTCAGAGCTCAGGACCTATGTCTCCTATTCCCTGCAGCAATTTTCATCCAAAAGGTTAACTGAGTAATTTTGTATTTTCCTGCAAGGAATTTAAGAATCTTCAACTTCTCTTTTAGACTATTATTAATAGGCAATCATGCTTTGATGTAACAGAAATGAAGGCAGCTTTTGAGAAACGCTAGATTTACACATAAGCTCTGAAAGAGCACAACCTGTGTTGGTCAAGAGTGTAAGCTGCAAGGATAAGCTCGTCAATAGAATAGTCTGCAAAGATACGAAAACATCCATTAGTTCTTCCTTCCTGAGGGCAGCAGATAATCCCTGGGCCCCTGTTAGCACGAGGGCACAGGCAGCAGGAGGGATGGGTCAGCCAGGGCAGGCCTGGGGGGGCTAAGTTCCCTGCAGGCAATGGTGGGGAGCAGCATGAAGGGATAAAAGGGCCCAGACTGGGGAAGGGAAGGAGGGTCATTAGTACAGAAGAAGGACCAGGAGAGCATCATGACTCCAGAGGCCAAAGTCCATGTAGGACTTGGGGCACTGATCCAACCTAAAGGAGATAAGGCAAAGGTCAGATCGGTTGAAGTAGAGTGAAAGGATAAAGCCTCAGTCAGCTCTTGGTTCATACCTAGGATCAGGCAAAAACCAGAGGGCAGGTGTAGACCTAGAAGAAGCAAGAGAGACCACCAGCATTGCTGCTGTCCCTGGGACAAGGGCCTTTTGCTCTCTGTCTTGGTATTATACTCACCTTTTAATGTGGGCAGACACTAGTGTAGGATCTGGGGAGAGTGAGCCAGGGATTGTATTTACAGCATAAGCAGAGGAGTCAGGCCACAGATGGGAGAGAAAATGGGGTTTTGACCAGCTCTACAGCTTCACACTATGAAATGTGCGGACACATCGTTTGTTGGTGACATATTTATTAGAGAGGCAGTCGAGTGTGGGGGAAACAGCACGTATGGCTTTAGAGTCAGACCAACACTGGGTTTGCATCCGAGTGTTGCCACTTACTAGCTATGTGATGCTGAGCTAGTCACCAAGACTTTCTGAGCCTCCTGTTTCTCTTCTGTAAAACAGAGGTGGTGCTAACAATATCAGTGAGGTGGTGGAAGTAAAATTCTTAGCATGGATCCTGAAGCATAGCAGATGGTCAATGAATGTTTCCTTCTCTCTTCCTTACCTTCTTCTATGCCTTTCATATGAAAACAAAAAGAAGACTTTCTATTTGGATGTTGTTTAAGGGAGCAGGGTTTGCTATGGCATCTACAGACTACCAAGAAAAAGACTGGCTTCCCAACAACAGAAGACCTCATGGACTAAACTAAGAAGGGTAACTTGGATTTGGATGGTGCTTTTGGTGTACTGAGTCCTTTCCTTGTAAATGAGGACGGTTGTTTCTTATGATAGCCCCCCCCCTACTTCTAGAAAGATTTTAAGTAATCTCTACACCCAACGTGGGGCATGAACTTACAACCTCAAGATCAAGAGTCACACACTCCACTGACTGAGCCAACCAGGCACCCCTCTTATGATAGCTCTTTAAGGTGGGCACAAAGGTACTATTTTCCCCATTTTGTGGATAAGGAAATTGAGACCCAGAGTTTTTAAGAGTTTTGTCTTGAGGCTCCTCTATTTCCCACACCACCATACTATCTAAAGGAACTCAGTAAAGCCCTGATTACAGAGAAGAGTGACCTAATTTAATTCCATTCTGACTGGAAAACTTTGTAATGAATGGATAAGCATAGACTATTTTGCAAAAGTTCAGATATTTATGTAGCATCTCCCAAATGTATCATTTCAGCTTATAATGTTTAGGAGTTGTAGTGG